CTCCACAATGGTAGTATTTTGAAAGCACATTGAGACATTTTGAAGGGTTTGATTTTTCACATTTTCCAGCATGCATGGACGAGGCAACTGTGAGGTGTTTGTCACTGGTTTAGTAATCCAAAACACCAGGCTGCTGGTCAGGCACATGGATTTGTATCACAATATGGTAGATAGTGAAATTTTAATTATGTAAAAATTTAGAATGAAAGGTTGGCCTAATGGTGACTCTATAACCACTGTCAATTGTCATAAAAACATCTTTAATGCCCTTTAGGATAGAAAATCCATCATCCTTACCTGGTCTGGTCTATTTGTGAATCCATATCCACAACAGTGTGTTTGACTCTTAACTGCACTGAGTAAATGCAGTTTTAGCCAATGATACTCACGCCCCATTTAATCACCCTTATTGAGCCCCTAAAATCACAATTGATCAAATGATCCTCTATATAAGTAGTGCTGTCATAATATGCCTTCCCCTAACCCTTTTGGCTGTTCTCTTTCTTGCACTTAAAGCCCCTTGCAATCTCATCATCCTGTTAGTTCCCTTCAGGCTTCCCTGTACCAATGAAGTTACTCCATTCGTATTTGCAAATAACTCCAAAACCAGGTCAGGTTCACCACTTCTTCAGTTCTGCTCGTCTCTCTCTGGCATTCTATACCTTTTCCTCCTGTGATGATGTGTAATTGAGCAATGATATAGATTCTAAGGGATACTCATTGCAATCATTTTGCAAATTGTAGAGGCAGACAATCAGCTGTATTCTCTCCAATGTCTCCTGAACTGTCTAAAACCAACAAAACCCTACACCTATATAGACTTCAGGGACACATTAATTGACATTTGTGGATCATGTTACCTTGTACTTCAGGGTGGTAAATAAACCAAATACAGATGATGCCTTCCCATTCCTTTGTGTGCATGTCCATCTCCACAATGGACCCTTAACCTTGGACAGTTCAATAGATCATTAAGTAATTTCAGATCCTGAGTCTAGGTCCTCTGAATGACCACAGGCCTGCTGACCTCCACTGGAACCTCTGTCCAGGCAGCTTTGGTCAGACTCTCCGTCACCTGGATCTCTTCTCTTGGTCATCCATACAGAGATAAATTTAGTTATTCCTGTATACCAGCTATATCTGCCCCAATATTCATCATTTTTATGCTGCCAATGCATTCCATGGATCGGCCTTCTCTGCTAAAGTTCAGAAATGCTTTTTTGCAGTTGCAATTAGTAAATGAAAAAAAGAATCACCTCTGCTAAGTTGGCCAAGTATTAATGAAATCCAAGAAATTGCTATTGCTTCCAGAAAGCCCCTACCCCAGCTGAACCTGACTCAGCCCCATGCCAAGTGCCCCTTCATTACAATGGATGTGACCTCTTCCCAGGTTACGAATACCAGCTCTGTGTCTTAACCCCATGCCCTCCAAGTCACAGTGGGTAAACAGTCCACCATCCACCCATCTCTGTTCTTGGCCAGAAGCCACGTATTGATCCAAGATGTATTCCTCTGGATAATAGGAGGTTGAAGTCAGTGAGCCATTCATTTTTGGATCAGAATCTTGCCCACTGCTGTGGGACCACTTTGCTCTGCCCTTGTTCTCAAAATTCAACACATTTCCCAGAAGAACCACCTGAAAGTGTGTTCCTTACATGTTTAGAAGTCATATTCAACAGGTATTGGAACAATTCACTATTATGTTCTTTCATGACTAAATGAGCTGATGAATGGTCACAGATCTCAAACATATTTTCATTCTACAGATGCTATATGACTTGCTGTGAATTTTGCAGCAATTTATAATCTTTCTTGGTGTTGGGTTTGAAGAAGAAACTGCCTGCTTATCTTCAATCAATGCAAAGGATTCTTTAATAATTATTACAACAGGCCAAACCCCTGGGAGGTGGTGGCATCCAGGAACAATTCCAGATTTACTGTTGTGATAAGTCATGGATTGTAGAGACAAGACAGAAGACCCATCTGCTGCCCCCAACTTGGAAAAGGCATTGCATAATTCAAAGAGCAGAATCTCAGGAGAACTGGTTGTTTGAGACTCAGGATTGAGTAGTGGCTATGTGAATTGGCATAGCACCAAGTGTTGACAATGTGACTGTGACTAAAGATAATCAAATCTGTGTCAATGACCACCAGTAAATTTATAATAAGTCATCCAGTCATACAGAACTTGAATATTGGTGAAAGGAGAGCCACATTACTGAAACTTTCTGCCTTGCCCTCATTAGGACAAACACAAGATAGCCAATTTTCAAATGACCGTAATTCATATCACAGTAGAAGAGTTCGCTGATTGGCCGGCAAGTCAAAACTGATTGGTCAAGGTGTTGCTATGGAGAAAGAACTGTGGAAGTATAGGCTCACCAAGTTCATGGATATTTCAAATGTGGCATTCTTGTGTTTGTACTGATGATTGCAGGGTGAAAAACTTTCGCAACACATTTCCTTTTTCAGCAATGTTATTAAAATTTCCTACCTAAACCCTTTAAATAGTAATATAATCTGGTCTGTACAACAACGTATGTGTCTGAACTATTGCATTAATCAATGCTTGTTTGTTGAAAGATCATACATACTTTAATTTTTACTCCAAACCTGTTTTCAGATTTCACTTGCGAGGCAAATCTCTTGACCTAAATCTTGTGTGATGATCGCATTCTGTCTGTGTTAAGTGCATTCATTGAAGCTAAATTTGAACAGTGTTGCCTAGGATCAACATCTAAGTGGCCATAATTCATTTTAAGCATCATCTTGCTACTTTTGCAGAAAGTGAAATTTTAAAAAATGAATTGTCCTTGTGCTATATAATGTTACTCATTCACACAAATGCAATTTAGACTTTTTAAAAAATCTTTCAGATGGATTAGCACAGCTATCAAATCGATGCACAAACCCTTGACCATGCACACTCTTCTTTTGATACTGTGTTGCATTACATTAATCAATATACCAGTTCTAAGGCTGCATTTACAAATTATGGTTAATAAATCACAGGGTAATTCGATATTCATGGATCAAGCTGAATCTAGTGTGGATCAGGAATAAAATACTGAAAGGATGAAACTTCAACTGATGAATGTACAATTAAGAATCTATATGTTTAACAGAGGCAGAAGCCCAGTGCAAAAGACAAAGGGGTTCTTAATGGTGGAGAAAGAGATACAGATGTAACGTGGGTATAAATTAAAGTGACAAAGGGAGAGAATGGGTTTTCTCTACTAAGAAGGCATGATGTCAGTTGTGCATCACTCTGTTGTACATCCACACTTTCTACCACCTCTAGCAGGATGCCAATGCCAAACACATCTTCCCCTCCCCTCCACACAACACAGGGACCATTCCCTCCATGACACCCTGATCCACCCCTCCATTAGTTTTATGCTTCCTCACTTCCCACGCAATCACAGATGGTGTAAAATTAGACCATTCACCTTCTCCCTCCTCATGGTTCAAGGTCCCTCTTTCAATCAAGTCTACTGTACATATTGCTCTCAGTTATTCGTGAGACTCAATGAAGTCTAGATAACTGCTTTGTGGAACACGTCCACTCTCGCAATAGGAATGACCCTGACCTTCAGCTGCTTGCTCCTTATCTGAACCTCCTTGCTGCCATACTAACATCTCTGTCCTGGGCTTGCTGCAATGCTCCAATTAAGCCTTGAAGAACAACATTTTCTACTCAGCCAATTTACAGCCTTGACATCTCAATAGTGAATTTCTTAACTTCAGAAACTGATTGTGCTATGTCTGTTATTCATTTTCTTTCCCATTCTTCCCCACTGCACAGCCTTGACTTGTTTGTGTCTTGCTTACTTTGCCCTTAGCACAGAGGACCCATTCTCTTCCTTTCTCACCTTAATTTGCATCCATTTTAAATCTCTTTTTCTCTTCCTCCAGCACTAATAACCCATTTATTGTTCCCACTGGGCTTCTGCCTCTTTGAAAAGCATATTAGAATAAATTTCTGACACCGTTCAGTTCTCAAAATGAGTTATTCCACACTCGAAGTATTAACTCTGTTAATATTATCAGTGGTTCATTTTCCTTTGGAAATTGCATGGTCATTTGAAGGCGTCAGAATGCCACTGCATCTATTCTGTTTAATATTGGCCTTTGTAATTTCCAGTCAATCTGGGTTATGTTAGCATTTCTGCAGTTCTCCAATCAACGTGGATTTGAGTGATGTCTTAAGAGGGTTCTATTCAATTTAGTGGAGAAGGAAAGCTTTTCCACACTTACGCAGACCCAACTAACATTAAAGATGCAACAATTATCTTCTGAGTTTGATTTCTGGTGTGTGCTGATCTCCACTGAAAGTCAGAAGTATGCTTCATTTAGTCTCAGTGCCTCTGGATTAGTGAGGAAGGATCTCCTTCTTCTTCGTCTCTTGGATATACAGCAGCCTTTACTCAAATCCATGCATATATTTCAGGATTGATTGGAGTCTCCTGATTTGTGATGCCCTTATGAATTGAACATCCTACAAGTGCTGCTTGCAGCAAGTGGCTGTAGCTGTTCTGCTGTTAATATCATTTTCTCATAGCTTCAGTTCTGGTCATTTTTTGGGAGTCAGCACTCTCAGCAGTGGTATATTTCACAAGCAAATGGATCTTAGAACTGACCTTTGCACAGAATGTATAATCAGACCACATAGGATTTGCTGAAATGCCACTGCGACAGTCAAGTTTGTAGAGTTTGTGCAAGTTTTTATCATCCTTTAAGTAAACAGTGTACTTCTTGTCCTGTTGGTACCAAACCAGTTCTAGTGTGACTTGGATTTGATTCCAGATAAACAAAATGAGCAAAATGAAATTTCCCTATTAAACTGGTTAAATCATTTCCTTTCTCCTAGATGATCTGCTTTTGCCAGATTTCAATTTATATAAAAATTGTTCTTTATACAAAAGTTTAAAAGGTGTTTAATCATAAACAAAACCAAAAATAATCACCTTGATGACAGTAATATTTTTTATTGTTCACAGTATGTCCCTCCTGATCTCTCCATCTGTGTTTTTGTGCTGGAGCAGTCACTGTCAGTCAGAGCTTTGCAGGAGATGTTGACCAGTACAACCGAAAAGAGCAATGAGGGCGTAAGTACTGACACCAACGGATATTGAAATAATTCATCATGTCACTCATTTAGCAACTTGATTTATTATGTACTATTTTCTGTTTAATATCATTGTTTGGAATTATTTGCATTCGTTGTTACTATTCTTTCAGTCTAGATGGTATCTTTCTTTTTAACCCAAAAGGTGGAGTTGTGAATTAAGATCTAAAACACGTAATGTCACTATTTAATTTGCAAATTGCAGCACAGAGTGATTTGCACTGACTACTGGGTACATTGTGTACATTGATTGATTAAGTTCGCATCTTGGTAACACCACAGTTCAAGTACTGTGAACAGTTCTTGTCGCCATATTTATGATTAGGATATTGATACACTGGACAATGTGTGAAAAACATGGAAAAAAAACACACTGAATACAGGGTTATGCCAATAGAATTATATTAAGAAAACTTCTAGGGTGCATAAATATTAATGGATATATTGACATGTTCCTCGGCTTATAACTCTATGTAATTCTCTGTAAGTTGACTTCAGTTTCTGCGAGTAGCTCTTGTTTCAGAGTCAAGTGGAATAAGTACCTGTACCATGTATAATTTTCTCTTTTTAGTTCATCTGAATTATTTTCTTCAAGGGTTCTTCTGTTATAACTCTTAAGTATTCATTATGCAGATGTTTGCAATTTCTGCTTTTTCAGAATTCTAAAGTTTAACACGGAGGGTAGGTCTTATGGTGCAATTCCTTCCAGTATATCTGAGGGCAGGTGGTAAATGTGGGAGAGTTTCCTGGTCAGCTACAATACAGAAGGCAATAGAAGGCATTATAGTACATTTCAAGAATACTCATGGATGAATCCAATAAGTTGTAGTACCTGAAGAGAGAGAGAGAAAGATTAAGATGACTCAAATATATTGCACAGTGTCTTGTGGCACAGTGGTTATATCCCTATCTCCAGATCAGGAGTTCTGACTTCAAGTCCCATACCAGTACATTATGGCCATGGAGGATAATGCTTGTAATTTGGCTAAACAGTTTGATTGTAAATCCTGCCATACACCTGATGGCAGGTGGAAAGAATGGGAGAGTTTCCTGGTCAGCTCTCCTGCAAAGACAAACCATGGCAGTACTTTGGCCATAAACGTAGACTGCTTCAATGGAAGTCCTAATGCCTAATGCTAGGAAAACAGGACAGGCATGTAATTGATCTTTGGTATTACACACTAGCATATTGTCAGCTTGAGTAGTTGTGTATTCACATAGACGTGATTTTGCCAATAGTTGGTTAATTTAATTATTCACAGAATATGCCAAGACTGGATGGCTATTCAAAGATCCCATTGTAAAGTGAAGTGATGATCAGTTGTGTTTTTTGTCCATTTCTTGATAAAAGTAGGATTGCACTCCAGGTGACCACTGTAGTAGTTTGTTCTATATTTAACTCTGCAACAGCTCAAATGTTAAATCACGGACTCATCTAGAAGAAATGTGAGAGATGTTGAAATGTAGTGTTGTAATTCATTGTTTCTCACTGCTGTTTCTTTTAACATGCTAGCCAGTAGAGTTCACCAAATGGGTATGTTCATGGATCTGTTTTGTTTTTCATTCCTGCATGCATGTGGTCAAAATGTTGAACTCTGAAGATATTTTTGTAAGAAAATGGTCACTAAGGTTCCCCTTGCATGTGTGTGTCAATGTTTAACTTCTTTAAAATATGAGATTATAAATAGTTTATTTGGTAGATTCCACACTTAAAAAAAAGTAGTTTTTGCTGAAAAAAGGCAATTTAACTCCTCACCGATTAAATTATTCTCTATTCCTATTGAACATATTTTATTAGAAAATAATGATCAACTGGACTGAATTTAGCAAGTGAAGCAGATAATACCATCAAGGCCAAGAATGACGAACCAGCAGATTATATGCATCATTTGAAGAACGTTTATTATTATTTGTCTTAAACCATATGGTGATAGCACTGGCAGTGTTAACTTTTGTTTCTGGTTTTGCTACTTAACAGTGCATATTGGGGTATTTCATGATATCTACTTAATGTTATATTCAGTTGATTCATAATCATTCAAGATTTAAAGATTCTGATGTATGAAGCAAGTTTATCAAATAATCTGGTGTTGATTACAGGAAAGTCTCCGTTAATTAGTTATTTATATTTTTGCAGATGTGCTAACGTGATTTTTTCAAAGTTGCATGCTTTTTGCACTATGCAATGCATTGCAGCATCAGTCTATGTCACATCAATAAGGTATGGTAGAATGGAAGATGTACTTTGGATTTCTCTGCTATTTTTCTAGCCTTATTTGGAGTGCTGCAAGGCTGCACATGAATAGAGATTGTAATCTGGATTTCCTTTCAATGCAGATTCACTGCCAAAAGTGGATTGTAGCAGGACTTCACACAATTTGCTAGTTTTAGGCCCACTTAAGTTAGGAAACTCTCAGCATAGGCTCAGCTTGCCTGCATTTTAATTCTCTTTGTATCACCAACCCAATAGGGAGTGGACAGAAATTCCACCTGCTTTGCTCAGCACTAGCCACTTCCAAAGATAGATTCTCAAGTGAGCATTGGACTCCTTGTCTGTTTATGGAGGAGGCATAAAACATGTCCCAAATACTTGTGAGGAATGCTTGCTAGTGACTGAATCAACATAATATTGGGTATACTTCAGTTGCCATTGAGAGACAGGTATAGCCGCACAAAATTATGCCTTGTAGTCCTTCTTTTGCATCAAGGATCATCAATGTAATGAATCTAAAATTTCAGTATTCTAAGTACAATTAAAGCACAACCCTGAGGGACAGCACTTGCTATGGACAAGAGGAACTGGTGGGTGTGCTGTACTTCTATTTCCAGAAATAGAAATATTAAAGAGAGAGCTAAGAAGAGCCAGGAGGGGACATGAGAAGTCTTTAGCAGGTAGGATCAAGGAAAACCGTAAAGCTTTCTATAGGTATGTCAGGAATAAAAGAATGACTAGAGTAAGATTAGGGCCAGTCAAGGACAGTAGTGGGAAGTTGTGCGTGGAGTCCGAAGAGATAGGAGAGGCACTAAATGAATATTTTTTGTCAGTATTCACACAGGAAAAAGACAATGTTGTCGAGGAGAATACTGAGATAGAGGCTATTAGACTAGACGGGATTGAGGTTCATAAGGAGGAGGTGTTGCAATTCTGGAAGGTGTGAAAATAGATAAGTCCCCTGGGCCGGATGGGATTTATCCTAGGATTCTCTGGGAAGCTAGAGAGGAGATTGCAGAGCCTTTGGCTTTGATCTTTATGTCGTCATTGTCTACAGGAATAGTGCCCGAAGACTGGAGACTGGCAAATGTTGTCCCCTTGTTCAAGAAGGGGAGTAGAGACAACCCTGGTAATTATAGACCAGTGAGCCTTACTTCGGTTGTGGGTAAAGTGTTGGAAAGGATTATAAGAGATAGGATTTATAATCATCTAGAAAGGAATAATTTGATTAGGGATAGTCAACACGGTTTTGTGAAGGGTAGGTCGTGCCTCACAAACCTTATTGAGTTCTTTGAGAAGGTGACCAAACAGGTGGATGAGGGTAAAGTGGTTGATGTGGTGTATATGGATTTCAGTAAAGCGTTTGATAAGGTTCCCCATGGTAGGCTATTGCAGAAAATACGGAGGCATGGGATTGAGGGTGATTTAGCGGTTTGGATCAGAAATTGGCTAGCTGTAAGAAGACAGAGGGTGGTGGTTGATGGGAATGTTCATCCTGGAGTTCAGTTACTACTGGTGTACCTGAAGGATCTGTTTTGGGGCCACTGCTGTTTGTCATTTTTATAAATGACCTGGATGAGGGCGTAGAAGGATGGGTTAGTAAATTTGTGGATGACACCAAAGTCGGTAGAGTTGTGGATAGTGCGGAAGGATGTTGCAGGTTACAGAGGGACATAGATAAACTGCAGAGCTGGGCTGAGAGGTGGCAAATGGAGTTTAATGCGGAAAAGTGTGAGGTGATTCACTTTGGAAGGAGTAACAGGAATACAGAGTATGGGCTAATGGTAAGATTCTTGGTAGTGTGGATGAACAGAGAGATCTCGGTGTCCATGTGCATAGATCACTGAAAGTTGCCACCCAGGTTGATAGCTTTGTTAAGAAGGCGTACGGTGTGTTAGGTTTTATTGGTAGAGGGATTGAGTTTCGGAGCCATGAGGTCATGTTGCAGCTGTACAAAACTCTGGTGCGGCCGCACTTGGAGTATTGCGTACAGTTCTGGTCACCGCATTATAGGAAGGATGTGGAAGCATTGGAAAGGGTGCAGAGGAGATTTACCAGGATGTTGCCTGGAATGGAGGGAAGGTCTTATGAGGAAAGGCTGAGGGACTTGAGGCTGTTTTCGTTAGAGAGAAGAAGGTTAAAAGGTGACTTAATAGAGACACACAAGATGATCAGAGGATTAGATAGGGTGGACAGTGGGAACCTTTTTCCTCGGATGGTGATGGCTAGCACGAGGGGACATAGCTTTAAACTGAGGGGTGATAGATATCGGACAGATGTCAGAGATAGGTTCTTTACTCAGAGAGTAGTAAGGGCGTGGAATGCCCTGCCTGCAAAAGTAGTAGACTTGCCAACTTTAAGGGCATTTAAATGGTCATTGGATAAACATATGGATGATAATGGAGTAGTGTAGGTTAGATGGGCTTCAGATTGGTTTCACAGGTCGGCGCAACATCGAGGGCTGAAGGGCCTGTACTGCGCTGTAATGTTCTATGTTCTATGTTCTATAAGTCATTTGGTTAGGAATCACATCAAAGATTATGGGATAAAGTAATGGCTCATTCTGCAGAGAGTAGCACATTGATATAGATAAAAGATTGGCTGGCTAACAAGAATGAGAGCATGGGTATAAATTTGTCATTTTCAAGTTGGCAAGTTCCAAAGAATGGTGTACCATCAATGTTGGTGCTGGGACATCAACTGTTTATAATTTATATGAAGGACTTGGATAAAGAGACAGAGAATGATTGCCAAATTTGCTGATGTTA